AGAAAGTCTGGCTAATCGCATCCGGAAACGATATTCACTTTCCTGCACAGAACATTCACATTTTGATCACACTTTGCTGCGTGAAATTTGGTTGACTTCGTTTGCACAATTCATGGAAATGTTTTCCATACCGTGTCATCTGGTGTTATGATAATGCCTTATTGCAGCATTTCTAGTCCGTGGACGTGGTTGTTTGCTGAATTATCACCTGCAGGGTTGTGTCCGTTCAGGCACTCTTCCCTCACGAATAAGGGTTGCTCTTGTGACCTTTTTCAGAAGACGTTCGTATTCTCGCAACAACTGGCCTTCCTAGTGCTGGCTCTCAGGTCAGCCCAACCGATCGACCAGATTTGAGCCTTCGCGACTAACTGAGGTTGGCAGACATGATGTTCCGGATGGTAGGGTTTTAGATTTGGTTGTAGTCCTCTTCAACTGTGTCAGTCTTTTCTGCCACTCAGGCCGAGTTGCAAAAAAAGTCAAACCAATGCTACGACATGAATTTCCACTCAGAAGGAAAATTTTATCGAAAGGAATTCCCGAAATTGTCTCAGTGTGGATTGAACGAGGATTGTGCAAAAGAGTCATCGGCCTACTGTCCTGTGACCCCAGTGAACCTGAGTTAAACTTTTTTTCACCGTCATGTCAGATATCTGGATAAGAATCCATATTTCACGAAATAGCGCAAACATATGACGAACCAACGCGAAGGGTTTTGCCACTTCCTGAAGTATGGATTCTTGCCCTTATGACTTATATGATGGTACAGACGAACTTTGGCGCAGGTTCATCAGGGTCGCAGAGTGGTAGGCGGATAACTTATTCGCACAACCCAAATCCGTCGCAATCCTCCTTCGATTTCCAATCAGACCATTTCGCGAATTCTTTCCAACCAGCTTTTCCTTCCAAGTGCAAACTCATGCCATGGCATTGGTTTGACTTCGTTTTGGCAACTCGGTCGGAACAACAGAGTAACTTTATGGAACACGCCCAATTCCGAGCACTGCCCCAGCAGCCATGCCAATTTCCACATTCTGGACCTTCACCTGCCCTACACTCCCGGACGCTTCATCAACGTTGCAGTGGGCATCGTTATCGAGTGTTACAACCTACCAAGTGTCCCTGAACCTTAGAAACTCTGTGCCGAAGATGCTTCCGACTGCTATTCAGATGAAACGGTTGAGAGAGTTGCAATAAATCAACGATCTGGCTTTTAACCAAATCACCAATATGAAGTTGGACCAACTCGACAGAGTTAAGGGCGACTGTAACCAAATCTAAAGTCACGCCATCCGGATCATCATACCTGCCCATCCCGGTTAGGTACCTAGTCCTTGCATCTATTTCCTACCCTTTTGTCTCGCCCTCGTCCTTACGGATAGGAATTTAGCCTAAGTTGCCTAACGTCGTTTGCGGGCTGATGGTTGAGTTTTCCCCAATCAGATGACTAGGCGGCAGGATGCCGATGGATTCCATCGGGCCTCATTTCATCGGAACCTGGCTCCATCGAAATTGAACTTTTCGTCGGTTGCAATAACAAATTCCGTTTGGCTCGGTTGGCCTGAGCTTGCTCTGAATTTCACATCTGCTCCGTTACTGCCATTGGGCTCATTCATTGTGCAGTGAAGCGGGGACAAGCAGGTATTGGTTACTGCTCAAGATGGTGAGAAGACGACGAAGCGATTTAGTGCAGTCCAATTCAGTCCATTGTGGTCTTGATGAAAGTCTTTTGGGAGACATCTCATCTGGTTGTGGGAAAATTTGACCATCTATACTTAAATAAACTTAGGCGCTATGGGCTTACTGAATTATTGAATAAGGGCTGTATTGACAATATTTCGTTTTAGGTTATGAAAGGGATCAGTTAAATTTTGCACATTAGGCCTGATGCCTGCCACGGAATCTCAGAAAGCATATTGGACTGCAGTTCCAACCTCATTTCTCGCGTACAAGCAAGTCTTCAACATCAAATGGGGTGAATATAGTCCTTAATCAAGGTTCGCTGGTGGCCTCGAAAGCCTTTTTTATAGTTCTTATTCGAGAATTTCTAAAACGTTGAAGTTACTTAGATTGGAGTAAAAGTTGCGTCAAAATGGGTTTAAAGACTCCTAAGCTCTATTTTTCTTAACAATTCCGAAGGTGGATTTTGGGGAACTGACGGCCAGAGCATGTCCGACCCTGGGGTAGGCTCGTATAATTGTAACCAAAGTCCGTGCAGGTTACTGATGCGCATTCTATGACTTTAGCTGTCGCCTCAATAGAAGGATATAAACAGCCCGGAACCTTTGTATGATTTTGTCAAAATATGAGTTGCATCGCATCGAGTGCTGTAGCGATTGCTACTACTTTGCACTTGGAGCAACTCGAGCGAACTCACAGAATAGAATTGAAGAAATGTTCTTTATGTTAACATAGCGGGTTCGGCCCTTGGTTTCCTCGAGGGGGAAAGAAAGACAAGAGGGCTTTGGAATTGCGATTGCCTATTTGGGCCCGCTGGCCATTGGCTCACGCCCCATGACCCCCAATCCCGGGACCGCCGAGTGTCATTGTCTGAAATCTGACAGAATCTGGCGAGTATTGTGTTGGTAAAGAAGTATTTGTTGGGCTGATAAATCACATACAAATATCAAGCAATCCGTCTCAGGTCTCTTATGAAGCCAACTAGTGTAGCCCTTAACTCAAATGTGATAAAAATGCTTTTGGGGTTTATGCGTAAAGGATCCTGATACTAAAGGGAACTGGCCTTAGATAGAGGCCAGTCTTACATAAATCCAAGAACAGGCAGAATTTTGATCGGTCAGTCTCGTCTCATCTTATAAAGATGGTAAGGACTCCTTTTTTATTATAATAAAAAAGTGAAGGCAAGCAACTAAAAGATAAATTATGGAAAATCTTAACGAATGTATGACAATTTTAAAATAGGTATGATCCATCTAGAAGTCCACGGCAGTTTCAATTTAGCCGGCAATAAATTGTCTCTACTAGAACCTTACGCTTGTTGCTAAAACAAAACGCCTTTAGACTCTGTAGGAATCCAATTTTTCTATGCATATACAAGTTTCGACTTCCTCATCATCCTACTGGCATAAGGCATTTGCTTTGAGTACATATTTGTCACTCCTATTAATGAGTAATGGACCATTTTGCTGGACTTATCAGTACCCTGCGCAAACGCATTTAGATTCAATTTGGCTGACTCCAAAGCAATTTCTTTAATCGATTTTCGGATTTCCTCAATCGTAATGACCAGTTGCTCTCGAGCATTGCAAAATGGCCCTCGTTAGTTGATTTGATATGCATGCGTAGTCAGGAAATCTATATTTCTAAACTGATAAGACAATTACAAAATCTCTCGATTTCAATTTGTTAAAATATAATATTGTGGAACTCTCTATTATTCAAATTTTTGAATGCATCTATGTATTATTGGCTTCAAGATTCCTCATATTTACTCCTATTAATGAAGTGGCCGCTTGTCCTATTTACATAAATCACACAAAGTAATTTCTTTCCATTGCATAGAACCCTATTTTGATCCTTTTTATGTAAAATAGAATATATCATTTTTATATAAAAGTATTTATCTGTTCTCTAGAACTCAAAATATATAACGTATTATTCTAGAAAAAATTTTCAAATATAATCTTATCCAGTAGGCATATCAAATTTATCCATGATAAAGTTATTAACTAGAATAGGTTGTAGAAATTAACTCAAGCATAAAATCTTATACAGCTTTTTTATTTCAGATTTCAATTGTATAAATTTTTAAAAATGTACAGAAATGTTATGACCTCGTTTTCACCACCTGGTCATTTTTTTAGGATGACTTAGTTGAATACACCTTGTCCGAAGTCCTCTGCTAGAGTGGTTATGCTAATTACCAGCTTTGGACCAGGGACTTGATAAATTTTGAAATGTTTCACCAGCATCGTCAATGAAATTTATCATTCGTAACTAAAATTTATCAAGGAGGCTAGCTAAGTCTGTCTCCTAACAAACTTTCTGCCAAACGGTTGTGTTATCTATTCTCTCGGATAAATAATATGGTAGATATTACTATACGGTAATAAAAATCAATTTTAACAAATCTTAATAGCTTGTAATCAAAAGCATGCGTATTAATGAATGAATCACTTATTTGGATTTTAAGTTTTTCTCATTATCTTAAATAAGCATTGATTAAATGTCAGATCTATTATATTTTAACTTGTAAAACAATATAAATGATTTATAAATATCCTTCAATATTGTAAAAAATAAAATTAATTGTTTTGCTATAATTTTTTTACATAGTAAGCTTATACAAAGAGCATTCACACCCAGGAAAAGGCATATTTTAGCCGCTCACTATAATTCCTCTAACGAACCTTCTCTGATATCGCTTCAGGATGTCCCACCTTACCCCTGCATCTGTCACATTTTTGTTGTTGGTTCATATAAGTAAAACATTTGATATTATTTAACAGTGGAATTATTGCTATTTTTATTCTAAAGATTAGACGCTTTTTAGCTATACTATTTTATTTTCCTTAATTTACACAGTATAATGACCCCATGTCGCATTCGATAAAGGCTTCTTATTATTCCTTCATCACCTTACGTTACCTAAGATGGCTAAAACCCTTATTTTCTATTTTGTTTTAACACGAATAACCTACTTTATGTATATGTTGTCTATATGCTGTTCGGCAAGCGCAAGTCTATGCTCCTCTCGTTATAAGTTTGATGTCA